GATTAAAAAGTCACATAACTGCAAGCACTCTGAATAAGTGCAGCTGAATTGTTAACTTATTTTTGGTTCAATACCTGAGACAATGAGCATTATATTTTCGTCTTTTGAAAGTGTGTATCTTATATCCCTTCCATGAGAGTTGGAAAGTACCTCACTGTTTTACTTTTGAAATGATTATGCTAAAAGTAAGATTAACTATAAGTACAGCCTAAATAAAAGTCTTTTATTTGCATTATTCAAGGAAAAGGGATTTATAAATATTATGTCTTAAGACTGGCTTCTTGCATCTTTTCCAAGCTATCGTTACTGAAAGCTAACTCTGCAGCTTGGAATGCTTCTTCTTACAAAAAGTGGGTGGAATTGTGCATTAAATAAAATCTTCTGGCCAGATCTCAGACAAAACAAATATCACATTCCAGAATTTGACAAAGTTTATCCAAGTTCAAAGTCCCAGGCAAAATCTTTAGAGAAATCCATTATTTACACATTTTTTCTCTTAGAACCATACAGACACAATCCATTAGATACAGTATGTTATTTAAAATCTACTGAAGTAAATTTGGAGTGTATCAAAAAATGCTTACACAAAATCACAGGCAAGTTTTGTAAGCCAAAACTAGCCAGTTTCTATCAACTGCAAAATATGTTTGGTTTTCCACAACATTTTTGAGGACTACAGGACCTAGAAGACACAGTCACAGCAGAGTTTTGTCCATTAAAATCATCCCCAAACCCCCAAAAAACTAATAAAAGAAACCCTATTATTTGGGGGAACCAAAAAGAGTGTTAGGCAGCTGAATCTAGCCATTGGTGGGGAGTTTTCAGCCCTACATTAAGAGCGGTATATTTTTATATTGGTCTGTTGAATTAGTTTCAATGGCTGGATAAATAAAATCACAGGTCCCCAAACAGGGTATAGCCTGAAAACTTTGATCACAAATCTCACCTATTTCTTTATTCAGTGCTAGAAAGAGCCCATCTGTCTCCAAGCAAGCATATACCCACTCCTTCCAGCAGAAAGCTTGTGATTTTCAAATTACTTTTCTTATTTTTATAAATAATGCAAGGTGGGAACATATCTAATACTCCTTTCTCTTTTATTTCCCCTAAAACCATCACCCTGTGAGATGAGTTGGTTAATGGCTAATATGGGACTAGAATTCACAATCTCCTGGTTCTTAGCCTAATTAAGCACTAGACCAAACTGGCTTTTGACTTTCTTAAAATACCAACTGGAAGTTTAGATGCTGAATTTGAACATGCATCGCTGGATTAAAATCCAGAGTGCTATTGTTTTTTGTCTGCTTTGACTAACATTTAACTTGACTGTGGACATTAAATATATCAAAATATAACAAACAGATAAACTGTAATTGTATTGGATTAAAATGGGTAAGTCATTTAAAAATCATTGTAATCAAAATTATAATAAGGGAGGGAAGGAAGGAAGGAAGGAAGGAAGGAAGGAAGGAAGGAAAGAAGGAAGGAAAGAAGGAAGGAAGGAAAGAAGGAAGGAAAGAAGGAAGGATCAAGCTTGTCAATGAAATTCAATTAGTTTAAAAAGGCATTGCTCATGAGACAAAAGTGCAAGCTCTAATTGATAAATATTGATTTTCAAACTGCTGGGTGAAAACTGCAATCTCACCTATGTTACCTGGAAAGAAAGTCACTTGTTGGGGTTTACAATTACAATCTTAATTTATTAATTAATTTCCAACAAGCAAAGGCAAGAACTGATAACAACAATGTACATTATTTCGGAGTAAAGTTAAATGGCTTAATTTCTCTGAAACCAAGCAGCTTTTTGTTAATTGGGTGGCCAGCACAACTACAATGAAATCAGAATCCTCTTTCCTGGGCCTGCAATTCTCTTCTTTCAGAATGTCTAGTTCTGTGACAATTTGTTCTTCTATTTACAATATCTCAATAGAGCTCTGCCAATTACTTCTGAACTGTGCTTTCTCCTCCGCATGCCAAACCGTGTAATAGACATGTCAGTGCCTGTGCTTTTCAGTAGTTTTCCCTCAGTCACATTATAGCCTTTTGCGTACATTATTGTTATACTCGTTTCTTTTTTCAGCATCGGCTGTCTCATCCTCAGTTATTTGCTGCACCCTGTTAGAATGTCAAAGCAGACAAAAAGGATGGATTCTTCAGTTCAATAGTTGGCCGTTTGACTTTTCCTTCCTAAGGACTTTTCCTTAGCACAGAAATTTTAAGCAAGTCATGAAACCATCAATTCTTCATCTAATTTTAAGGCAAGTCTGACATTCTTCTACTTTGACAGCCTGTAACTGCTATCTATTCTTCTTATACATTCATGTTGTCCGTGGTTTAGGAGGGAGGCCAGCTTTTTGGAATCTAACCAGTGAACTCACTTGTTTTCATATTTACAGGTTTAGACAAAACAAGTTTAGGGGCTATTCGAAGATAGGCAAAAATGCAAACATTATTTCAAGGATAAGCTTTGTTCTTGCTTGGGAGCTCAAGCACTAGACTCTGCATTCCACAAGATAACTAAAAAAAAATTGTCTGATGACAAAATGGCAAGTTGGTATTAAATGAAAAAGCAAACTCTGAATTAATCAGACTAGAGCTGGAAGGGACCTTGGAGGTCTTCTAGTCCAACCCCCTGCTCAAGCGGGAGCCCCTGTACCATTTCAGACAAGTGACTGTTCAGTCTCTTCTTAAAAACCTCCAGTGATGAAGCACCTACAACTTCGACGGCAAACTGTTCCACTGGTTATATTATCTTCACTGTTAGCAAGTTTTTCCTTAGTTCCAGGTTGCTTCTCTCCTTGATTAGCTTCCCTCCTGCCCTTTCTTGTCCTGCCCGCAGTGCTTTGGAAAATAAATTGACCCATCCTCTTTGTGGCAACCTCTTGAATACTGGAATACTGCTATCATGAGCTGCAGTGGTGCAATTGTTAGAGTGCAGTACTGCAGACTACTGCTGATCACCAGCTGCCAGCAGTATGACAGATCGAATCTCACCAGCTCAAGGTTGACTCATCCTTCCATCCTTCTGAGGTGGGTAAAATGAGAACCTAGATTATTGGGGGCAACATGCTGACTCTGTAAACCGCTTAGAGAGGACTGTAAAGCACTGTGAAGCATTATATAAGTCTAAGTGCTATTGCTATCATATCATCCCTGGGCCTTCTTTTATCTACACTATCCAATCCCAAATACTGCAACCGTTCTTATAATTCAAAGCAACTACATTGCTTGTTTTTTTCATTGATGTATTTGCATCTTTGAAACTGGTTTTTTTTTTTACATGTGCAAAGTACACATGCTGGAGAAATAATGTATAAAACACATATAGTTGTAAATGAACTGGTCCACTATATATAAATTCACCTGAATAGTATAGGACCATTTTTTTTTTTTGCTTTAAAGGTTGACAAAAACTGAAGGACATTGTATTTCCTGTTAAATAGGCAAGAAAACTGATCACAGAGTGCTCATTTTGGAACATACAACCTTTATTCAATCTTACTCTTCCAGGATATATTCAGTGAACAAGGTATCCTTCCAATCTTTTACAACAAATCTTATTATTATCCAAAGAAAATATTGCTGCCTTAAAAAAGTGACACCAAACTAAAGAGAGGGACACGGAGCTCATTCTTTAAAGATGGAAGTGGAACAAAAAACCCACCACTGATTTCAGTGACAATTATGTACTAGTAACAAGTCAAATTTCCCAAGCACAATTTTCCCAAGAATTGAATTGTGCATGGCACTGAATGATGCAGGACACACTTTAGTACCGCCAAGCTTCCTGGAGTCAGTCAGTCTGTCTCAGCTGAAATCATAATAGGCAGAGATTGTGAACACAGATGGTTCTGTACACTGAAATGTCATGAATCTAGCAAAGCCATAGGACTTCAAGCATTTCTGTTTTGCTGGAAACTAGAGAGAAATATATTCTTAAACATTTGTATTTGTTACATGAAAATAGAACTAACCTAGACATGGGTTTTTTTTTTATTATGAAATACTGATGCAAACTTAATTTGCGCTAACCTTAATTTAGTTTAGTTTCGGTGTCATCCAAACTGAGGCTCTCTAATGTAGTTAAACTCTGGGTACTTGAAATGATTCTACCATCCCATGATAAATTCTTTAAAATGGCATTAAAATGCTACAGCTAACAACACAAAGACTTCTTACTTCAGAAATTCCCCATGAGCATTAATCATGAGCAACTGAATTATTTAGAACACAATAAATCTATTTTGAACCTTAAAGACACGCTAAGTGTTATGTTATTCACATGATAGCCACTTCGTCCATTTGACAGCCTAAGTGAAATGGACTCAAACCATTGCCATGTGAACAGATTCCATGTGATCAAATCTTGGTCAAATTAGACCATGAACTCCTCAAGAACAATATACAAGCTGACAGCAGACCACTTCTTTATTTAAAAAAAAAAGTAACTATCTATTCTCAGAAATGTACCTTCTCAAAAATTATACTTTGGATTACTTCAATTTTTCTTAATTATTCCCTTTAAGTCAATATTTTTATTTTCCTGCTACACTCTTCTCCCCCACTAACATTGATATTTGAATGTTATTTTATCAATGCCCTCAAAATGTCCAGCACCTTTAAAAATTAAACTGGATGCAATTCCAAGAAATCAGAGTTAGGATCATTTTTGGCATAAAGAATTGAAAAGGATCAGGAAATCTCAGCAATTATAAATGAAGGCAGAAGGAAAGGGTAACAAAGCACAGAAATATAATTATTTCTATGAAAAAATAGTAATTTGTAACACTACTATTCAGGCTATCTATCATTTATTTTGATGATGATAACAAATACCATGGCCAAGTCTGGTGAAAGGGTGTTATAGACCACCAATAAAGTATCCAAAAGAAGAAAAGAGGCAAAGGTGCATATTAAATTCATTGTGATGCTGGCTGGGGAATTCTGGGAGTTGAAGTCCACAGGTCTTAAAGTCACAAGGATTGGACATCCCTGGTATAGAGGCAGAGGTGGTATCCTGCCAGTTCTGATCAGTTCGCCTGAGGCCCTGCCCAACTGCCCCGTCTCTACGACATCCCATTTACACCCTTTTTAAGGGCAAAGCACATGTGTGGAAGGCGGAGCGCGCACATGCTCACATTTCCTGGGTAGGGAAGGTAAGTAAAGACCATCCCTGTGTAAAGGGTTTTATCAAGAGATACTGACAAGTAAGTAAAAGGACCAGCATCTGGAAGAGACCTGTGTGAAATTGGTATTAGAATCTCTTACCTTTTGATAAAATTCCTTTGACATTTTCCAGAAGGAAACGTGTTGTTTTTTTTAATCTGAACTCCATCAGCCCCCAAAAGAAGACATCAGAACATTTGGCATCCAGTTCTTTGTTCCATCAGTCACGCTCTGAACAAACAAAAGCTTCAAATAATTCTTGCCCCACATCCATGCTTAATTAAATATGAAAGTCAGAAATTCTGGTCAAACCCTGCTGGATTCCTGTAGCATCTTTGCCGATGTGTTCCTAAGGAAAAAAGCTGCGTGGAAAAAAATCCACCACAGTCCATTTCCACTAAGCCAAAATTATAATTGTAAAATTCAACAAGCTGGAAGAAGGCCACGCTTGCTACTCATTTCTATCCATGCTATCAGAGATAACCTTGTAAGGACATATTTAGCATTTCACACATATAAACAATACACACACATTTGCTCTTGTTCTGTTGCCTTTTTTTCTCCCTCAAATCTCCCAGAATTAAGAAGCAGATCAAACTGCCAAACTGCTTTTATCAAGTACTTTTGAGTACTTTAAGTACTTTTATAGTCAAATGCTTTCATTTTCCTTAAGAATCCAAGACTAGAAGAGGTATTCTGACTGATATATGTATATGTAGTAATTTGTAAAGGAAAACCTATTTTGCTTTTCTTTCCCAAATTCTATGTCTTCACATTTGATTCAGTTTTTTTCTAATTATCTCCACATTGCCATTTTCTTATGCTTCTAGCAGCAATGATCATAAGAAAAATACAGATAGTCCTTAACTTATGACCACAATTTTGGAGCCCAAAATTTCTGTCGCTGTTAGATATTTGTTAATTGAGTTTTGCCTCATTTTATGACTTTTCTTGCAATAGTTGTTAAGTGAATCACTCCAGTTGCTAATTTAGTCACACAGTTGTTAAGTGACTCTGGCTTCCCCCATTGACTTTGCCTGTTAGAAGGTCTCAAAAGGATCACCTGAGCCCAGGACACTGCAATATGAGTCATTTGTCAAGCATCTAAATGTTGATCATGTGACCATGCTGATGCTAAAATGGTTGTAAGTGTGAAAAAATGGTCATAAGTCACTATTTTCAGTGCCATTGAGGAGTCACTAAATAAACGGTTGTAAATCAAGGACTAACTATAACCACATTCATATGCTCACATCTAGGTAAAGGTAAATGTTCCCCTCACACATATGTGCTAGTTGTTCCCGACTCTAGGGGGCGGTGCTCATCTCCATTCCAAAGCCAAAGAGCCAGCACTGTCCGAAGATGTCTCCATGGTCATATGGCCAACATGACTAGACGCACACCTTTCCACCAAAGGTGGAAGCTGGGACAAGTAACAGGCGCTCACTCTGTTACGTGTTGCTAAGGATTTAAACTTCCGACCTTTCTGATCGACAAGCTCAGTGTCTTAGCCACTGAGCCACTGTCTCCCTACGCTCACATCCAGAGCTGTATATTTAATAAATTAGGGAAAGGATCTCTTACATCCCTCTACTTAGAGACCATGAAGAACAGCTATCCAATCTGCAAATCAATCAACTGGGCTTGGAAATCTATACCAAAACACTCAGTACTGAATGATTTGATTTATGAGTGAATGTGCAAAGTAGGTCCTTTGAAAGATTTTGTGTTTCAGAATGATAGCATATCACATTCATGTTCAAAAACAGTCTTCCGTGCGCACCATGTTTTTAAAATCCTTCTGTGGTCACTGTCAGAAGATGAACATACACATATCAAATGCCTTCAGTAAGGCATTTGATAAGGTAGACCATAACCTATTACTAGATAAAGTAGAAGAATGTGGGTTAGACAGCATCACCACCAGATGGATTCGTAACTGGCTGACCAACCACACTCAATGTGTAGTCCTCAACGGAACTGGAGGGAAGTATGCAGTGGAGTACCCCAAGGCTCTGTTTTAGGCCCAGTACTCTTCAACATCTTCATCAATGATTTGGATGAGGGAATAAATGGGGAACTCATCAAATTTGCAGATGACACTAAGCTGGCAGGAATAGCCAACACTCCAGAAGATAGGCTTAAGATACAGAAGGATCTTGACAAACTTGAACATTGGACACTATCTAACAAAATGAAATTCAATGGTGAAAAGAGTAAAGTTCTGCATTTAGGCAAGAAAAACGAAATGCACAGGTACAGTATAGCTCAATAGTAGTAACTGTGAGACGGATCTTGGAGTTCTAGTAAACGACCATTTAAATATGAGCCAACTGTGTGCAGCAGCTGCTAAAAAAGCCAAGACAGTTCTGGGCTACATAAACAGAGGAATAGAATCAAGATCACGTGAAGTGTTAATACCACTTTATAATGCCTTGGTAAGGCCACAATTGGAATACTGCATTCAGTTTTGGTCACCATGATGTAGAAAAGATGTGGAGACTCTAGAAAGAGTGCAGAGAAGAGCAACAAAGATCATTAAGGGACTGGAGACTAAAACATATGAAGAACGGTTGCAGGAACTGGGTATGTCTAGTTTAATAGAAAGAAGGACTAGGAGAGACATGATAGCAGTCTTCCAATATCTCAGGGGTTGCCACAAAGAAGAGGGAGTCAAACTATTTTCCAAGGCACCTGAGAGTAGAAGAAGAAGCAATGGGTGGAAATTAATCAAGTAGAGAAGCAACTTAGAACTGACGAGAAATTTCCTGACAGTTAGAACAATTAATCAGTGGAACAGCTTGCCTCCAGAAGCTGTGAATGCCCCAACACTGGAAGTCTTTAAGAAGATATTGGATAGCCATTTGTCTGAAATGGTATAGGGTTTCCTGCCTAGGCAGGGGGTTGGACTAGAAGACCTCCAAGGTCCCTTCCAACTCTGCTATTGTATTGTATTGTATATGAAAAACATAATCAACATTTATAAGAAGAAGAAAAATCCAGAGATAAAATAAGTGGGAAATGGAGAACACTGGCAGCAAATAGAAGGTTATACTCTTTGAGTTTCCTAACTTTAGGCTTTTAAAGCAAAAATACATTTAGAATCAGTCAGAGCACTGTGGCTATTTTTATAAATGGCTGCAATGATGCACAAGGCCAATCCTAAAGAACTAATTCACCAGAAGAAACATGGATAAGGCTAAAAGGGACTTCGTTGCAGACAAAGCTGACATCTGACCTCGAAACATAAACCTGCTCATTGGAACCCATCATTATTATTTATTTTTGCTTTTTCCCATATTCCAGAGATTAGGAAATTTCAAAGTCATCCAGCCTGCTTAGAAATGACATGTAAGAAAAAGGTGGAAGTTCATCTCCAAATGCCATTGCCTAAACTTACCCTTCAAACTGAATTCTTGGACACGATGAGACAATATTTTTTAAAAAGTGTTTCACTATTGCTTTCTTTAGCATTTTTAAAAAACTACTTTCTACTCTACCTTACTGACCAAAGATTACTACGGGAGCTTCAATCCCAATATTGCTAGTTTTATGGAGACCAGCTAGCATCAGCCAGGGATACCATCACCATTCCTAAAGAGCTAATAGTTCTAGCTGCCTCATGCAGCAGATGTGAGTCTCCATTAAATATTAAATTATTGAATGAATTATTTCTGTTTTCTGCAGAGGGGGGTGCATCTGTACATTTCTACCTCAAGAGCATTTTATTTGCAGCTCTATAAACTGAGAGAAAGACTTTTAACTCCTTTAGCATAAACCCATTAAAAGCTTACAGAATACTTAAATCTACAATGGAGTGGTGACTCCTTGCTCTTTGCTTTAATTTCAAGGCAGCATTTACTCCACAATAATGTACTTAGTGAAGACAGAGGGTGCTCATTCAAAAAATCTTAAACATAATCTATTACATCAGATTAAGCTGGTATTCGTGTGTGGGCACAAATCCAGGAAAGAAGTAATCGGATATTAAAAAAATAAGGAAGGAACCATTTCCTCCTTTCCTGATTCTAGCACGGAAGGCTTGCAATAAAACAGCCTATTACCTTAAATAACATTTTATATATACTTCTTCCACTAGCCATTAAAAAAGAGCCAACTATTTTTTTTTTCCAATGTATTGTTCCAGGAGGAAATCAAAATTGATGCACACATACACATGCTATATAACAATGATTCCTAAAACAATGCAGCAGGAAAGAGAAAAAGCATGAAAAATCTGTCTACATTGCATTTAGGTCACCGGAATTGCAAACCCTTTCATTTTAAAGGAGCACTTCAAACAGATTCCTACCCAGGATGTTTGGAGGCGATAATATGTTGGAAAATAAAGGCTTGGGATTCCAGAAAAGTGTTTATTGCTTCTCTTTTCCTTCTGCTTTGGAAAACTGGCAGAAGGTCATTAAGAAAACATGTAATATTTTAAAACGTTATGGAATAACATGTTTTATTTAAAATTAAAAGATCTTATACACCAACTAGTCAAGCTCTACAAGTCACAAAAGTGGAGACACAGCAAGTCTCCCACTGGGTTTATAACTAGAAAGTGTTCCAATGTATGAAATTGGCATAAGAAAACAGAAAGCGATAATGTTCAATAAAATCTGAAACAGGAGAACAATGGGAAAGGCAAAATAGTGCTATCAATAGGTAGACCTCCATTTGTGTAACTAAATAGGGCCCAAGGTGAGGAGAAAGCAAGACAATGTGAAGAAGAAGAAGAAAAACTAACTCCAGAATGAATGTCACAGAAATCTTATATGAACACCTTCCCAAATTGATAACAATCATCATATATAAAACACAGTATTCATACTGGAAAATAAGGACAACAGAAGCAAGATGGTGATCTAAAAATGAAAGGGAACAAAATGTATTTCTAGAATCTAATTGCCAAGCCAAGTTATGTCAGGGTTCCAAGTAACACCCCCCGACGAAAGAAGACTCCGAGGCTAGAAGTTCCTCAAAGTTCCATTTTATTAGAGATGTCACATTGGCACATCTGGGAAAACCCAAATCTGAAGCTTCCAGGTTTTCCCCACCCAAAAGAAAGTCCAAGTCCCTTCCCCTCACACACATGTTCATCAAATGGTCCAATCAATGCACCGTCGCAACAGGAGATGTCTCCCAGTCATGCCACTCCAGGTGCAGGGCAGGATATCCTTGACTCCCAGAGAAAAGAATGTTATTATGGCTAGATATCTCCCCAACTC